TACAACAAGATTTTCTGTTTACACACGCAATTCATATTTGAGTCTGTCTTGAGAAGTTTGGGAAAACTAATTTGCCAGTGTAATGACCCTATTACACTTTAACAATTACATTTGTCATCTGCATAAGATTTTAAATCGTATCTTGATGAAATTTTAAGCAACTAAAATAAGCGTCACAGACATTTTGTATATAAACAGTGAAATCCTAATAAAAGAGAAAATAAGAGATCAGCCACCATAATTCAAAATCTTGCCTTTTGTATTTTGTCATGATGGCATAGCACCTAAAATACTACTGCTAGCTCAAGTTCTAATCCATGCAACAGCACTGTATTAATACGGACTGACTACCGTGATAAAATATGGAGCATTTGAGTTTGCCTGAACAGTTAGGTTTTAAACAGCGTGCCTGAAGCATATGTTCTTGCACAGCCTAGGACAAGAAAAGCAAATGCTAAAATAAAGGGTATTTTTCCTTTTACTGTTTTTTTTTGCAAAATAAAACGTAGAATAACAGGATTTATTTTACCTTCTTTGTTTTTTTTCTTTTTTTCAACTAATTTGTGTTCAGCATTTTATTAATGTGTCCAGGATGCTAAGGTACCAGAAACTAGCTAGCATTTCCTATAGCATAATGCTGAAATCCTACAAATTGTCTGGGACCACAACCGTGGTGATAGATTAATTCTTACTCAGAAATACCCAGAGCAGGAAACACAGATTTGATGGATAACTGCTTGCTAGCAAAACTATCAACTAGCCTTTCACAGCTCATTTGCATTATTTGGGCTATTCTGCAGTACACTTAGGACCTCTTCAACTACTACAGTAGCCTGAATGAAGAAAACAAAAGGGAAGAAACTGACTCATTAGCAACAAGTCATTTGAAACTACCTTGCTAAATACACAGCGGTATCGTATTAAATATAGCTACTGTGTGCAGGCAGCTAGCTATCTGGGTGACTGCACATAAATGAAGGCAGGAAATTCCCTTAGAAGATCTTACTTAGAAGAAGTACAGATGCAAGTTTCAAAAGATGAAGACAATAAATATAATGCCATTTACAAAGATCACAACACAAAGCATGTGTACAGTAAGAGCATTTGCAATGTTTCTGCTTACAGAGAAACAAGGGTTTGTTAATAAACAGTCAAGAAATAACCAACAAGCTTAATAATTGGAAACTAAAGAGAACAAAGAACTACAATTAAAAATAGCAAAGGAGCATTCTCTAAATAAAAGTAAGTTGTGAAAAAGTAATGGCATCATTCCCATCCCAAATTGGCCTAAACATTCAGCAGTGGCAATTTTGTTCACATCACAGCAAATGCAAAAGCCTTACTTTAGTATCTTGAATATGAATAACCAACATTCAACAGAGCTTTTTCATGCAACTTTACCTTAGATGACTGACGATAAAATGGGTTAGTAGTTTTCTGCCCACAGGGAGCAGAAGCTGAAGAAGGGCTATAAAGAGACTCTGGCTGGGGAACAAGAGTTATGAGACAACTAGTAAATAAACATGCAGCTTACACAGACTCTACAATGAGGAAGTTTAGTTTCTAGTGATGCAAGCAACACATATTAAAGCTCAGTAGCTTTTGTCTGCAATGTCCATGCAGCTTAGTGACGGAAAACTTCCATGTACTTCTAGGTCCTTTCATTAATGTCCAATGAATTTTTTAACAAGTGCTGTATTTCTGCATGCGCTCCTCAGACATGCTGTCAATCTCTAAGAGTTGGTTTTACTTAAGACTCCTACTCTGCCCCCCAACAAATTATCTTTCTTGAGGCTTTTCAAAATAGTTTGAGGACGGCGTGCTGGAGGGTAATTCCAAATCCAAATCGATTTCATTCTAAATGGAAATAATACTTAAATCAAATATTTGTTCCTAAAATAGCTGAGATGGAACTTTCAGGATTAAATATCCCATTCCCAAACACCAACACCTTGAACATTTGTTTCATCTATTACTATGTATTACATCTCTTTTCATATTCTTTATGCTTACCCTTGGTCTGCTTATAATGCTCTGTACCATAAAGACTACAGGATTGCCTGCCTTCCGTATGGCTTCCACAGCTTGTTCGTGGCTGGCATCTCTGAGGTCAATTCCATCCACCTGTAATTGGAAGGCCTCATCTTAACATGGCAAGAAGCTACAAGAATCATAAGTAAGCTTTGGGTTTTGGTTAGGGAACTTTTACTAAAACCTAAGCCCAAACCTCTGTTACTGGTGGAAAGGTTTCTACTGACTTGGTCTGAGGTCCCTCACACACAGGTTTGAGATTTCCAAGAGCACTGAAAGAACATCAAATAAACATTCTCTCATGGTTTTGAAAACAACATTATTTGTTCAGGCTCCATATGTTTTCCCACAGGCAATGTAATAGAAGAGATATGATAATAAGAAGAGATAAGGTAATCTGAAGAGAGTGGTAGCATTTGCCAAATACCGCTTCCGTAAATCCTATCTCGGAATAACCTACCTCCCAGGACTTTATGACATTTACAAACTGAAACTTGTTAGGTGCTGGAGGGTCTTTCATTATGGGGTATTATGTCAGTACAGTGTACTTTTTTTTCCTTTTTTTTTTTTTTTTTTTAAAGCAAGATAAGACCAATTTTAGCTACTACACACTTTCCCCAGAAGTTAAATTTTCACGTCAGAGCTGAAAAGCTTTCTCTCTTCTAGAAGAAAGCATTTACAAAGGATGGCTAAGGACAAATTTTTGCCTGGTTGCTTTTCTTCATGCCTTCGTATGTATTGGTGTGTAAAATGGTTTGTCTTGCGATCCAAGTAAGAACCATGTTATGGTGAGGTTAGCATCAGTAAAGCATTCTCACAATGACCACAATAAAAGCTAGAAGCTAACACAGAAAGGTTATTTGTTAGTGGCAATTCTTGCACACGAAGTTATATAATGAGGATTACCCCTACCTTTTTAACTGTCTAACTCTACCCTAAGCTTAACCATCCAATGTAAATATAGAATGAAAACAATCTGAGAAAGAAAATTCTATACCTATGAGGAACTGAACAATAACACTAAGGCTCTGCGACTCCCCGTGTCTGAAATACTGTATGCACTAGTAGAGAGAAAAGCCTACATATGCCACAACTTGAGAAACTGAAATAATCCATTCAGAAACAATCACATTAACACAACAATAATTACTTAATTTCACTCACCCACTTCAACTTCTGCAAGCGTCATTGTCAGAGACAATTGCTGCATTCATAAAAATACAGGTATTCAGATATAATGAATGTTTTTTAACTTTCTGGCCATCAAGCAAAATTACACCTCCCAACTTGTTATACACTGGAAACTCTTCCATCCTGTTGTAGAAAGTGCTACCTATACTAAGGTTAATTCAAGATCCTTTATTTCCCTCTTGCAGCAGATGGTAAACTGCAGTTTAAGTATCACCATGTAAAGCAAGCCCAGTCTGATCCAGGGGAAGCATCACCATCACCCTGCCTATTACATTCTTACTGATGGACAGTCAGCTAAGGACATCCAGCAGGGTGAAGAGGAGTGCAGTTCCTAATGGCCTGACACTGGAGACAGGGTAATGTCTGACTTACTGATCATCATCACAAGAAAGACACATTCCTTTCAGAATGTTCATTCTTCAATATCTTTAAGTGAGAAAGCAGAAGTGGCTGCGTGAGCACAGGATTGGCTAAGCAGAAGAGAAATCTAGATAAATTCTTCCCTGTAACACCACTGGCTACCCTATGGGGCAGGCATGGGCACAATGCTCTTAACTTCCTTTGTATCAAATAGAGCTTTCTTCACGTCATCAGGAAAAAAAATGTGTCTCCCTTAATTCCTACCCAAGATGCACAAGAATGATGTGATCTGGTTAAGATTTAAGAGGGAAATAAGCTTGGCATTTATTTGCATGATTTGTTATTCACTGGCCATTTTTGTGGCTATCCAATATGCAAAGGTAAAACCTTTTAGCTTCTCCAAACTTAAGCTTTTTCCTACACATGCTGGCTTTAAAACAGGCAGGTAGAACTACTGGCTTTGTAGACCCCTGCTCACACAGTCAGTCATCAATGCTTTAGGTTGTATATTCAACTTAAAGCTGTCTACACACAAACATCAGCAGATGGTACTACACTCTGCATGGCTCAAGTGGTGCCAGCTGGAGCAGTTACACAGCTGTCAGCCCAGGACCACACATCCACCCCAGCAGCTCCTGAGATGCTGGGGGTGTTGCAAGCAAAAGGCACTCGGCTAGTACCTCCACAATCCGATCTCCAGTTTTTAGCGTTCCATTTTTGCCAGCTGGGCTGTCTTCCAGGATGTGCTTGATAAAGATCCCTCTCATCACTTCTCCATTACTCAGGCGGCTCCCCATTCCTCGTCCTCCAACAATGCTGATCCCCAGTGACTTACTAGGCTCTCTCCAGAGTTCAACCCTGTTATGACAAAACAAGGACCAAAGTAAATAAAAATCTGTTGTGATTATGACAGTGCTGCACACTGAAGACACCTGGATTTGCACAATGGTTTAAAAACATTCAGAAATAACTCCCCCTTGGAAAGTTTTGTCTTTCAGTGGGAGTTATCTACTGAATTGTTCAGAAGGTCTGTAATTATGTCTACTGTTGTTCACTTTATTTTGGATTCTAATCAAAACTTTGAATCCTTCTCTTCATCTCTTCTTACTGACTCCCAGAGAGTCAGTCTACACAGATAAATTACTAAAGCAACCAAGAAACTACTAGATTGCAGGGATTTAGCCCAATGGCAATAAAAATCAACAGTGAATTACTCCAGCAATGCACAATATACGTAAGCGCAGCAATTCTGTAGTTTTCTTATTTCTCTTAAAATATATTACCAGTTTCAAAATTTTTGAATTTCAGATGAGATTTTATACTGTGCAACTAGATCTGCACTTACTTTCTGGGCTGGTTCCAGTTACTGAAGGCTGCATTTTGAAGTTCACTTTCTTCTCCCTCCCCCTCTTCACGTTCTGGAAGCTCTGGGAGTTCCCTGCTGATGAACAGGAACATGCAATTCATTATTAAAGAACCCACATAATCCCTGGATTTCACTGCAAAATGTCATGTATTGTATCACCCTGCCAGCATTAGAATTTGTACACAGGATTCGTGTAAGGAACTTCTTTTTCAGATGTCTGTTAGAATACATATTGTGTTTGGGGATTCCCTGTCCACCTGTCTCCACAATTAAGTTGCTATCAACCAACAACGACAGAATAAAAGACTCTGCATTTTGGAACTAGAACCAAATCAAACCTGAAGGTAATTACTTATTGTTTCCAAAATGGAAGAAATTACAACAGCAGCATTGAAAAAGTTATTGCTTTTGGAGATTAATTTCAAGAAAACAAACATTATTTGTCACTTTGAATATTTTGGCCTGTAACTGTAATGAATTTTTGAAACTCAGAGAAAAGGACAGCATAGTTCATTCTTTCCAGTATACATTCTGGAAAGACCACCAATGCCAAATTCTCATGTTGGAAGCACTATTTGTGGCGATACATAAATTAAATTGCATGGTATTTAAGGGTAGTTTAGGATGAGGCAGTATTTAATCTCCTTTTTGGGTAGATCAAACACCTATAAAACAGGCTTGTAAAAATGTCGGAAAAACTTGCCAGCCAAAGCAAAAATTGTACTCTGAACAGCTTTTTAGTGTCATGGCTGCTGGTCTGAAGAAAATCATCCATCTTTCAGCTCTTCTAAAATAAAAGTTATCTTCCTGAACTGTGCCAAATATATGAAAAGAGTTACATCAGAGAGCCCCACGGGAGAAAACAGTAAGTCTTTTGACTCACCTGACAGTATGTGAAGGAAAAAGTTCAAGTGGCACAGCTCCCTCTGTCTGTTGTCCCAAACTGGCCCTGTACTCGTCTAAATTTTCTGCTGGCACATATGTAATACTGCAACAAAATGGGACATGATTAAAGTAGCATGAGGACTGCTGGTCCTACCTTTGGTGGGTGTGAGGAAGGGATGTGAGGAAGCCACTCAAGACTACTTCATATAGTCATCGACTTCAAAGCCACAATGCTGGTATGTTGGGAATAAGGAGTTATATGAACCCTTTGTGACTTTGCAACAAATATGCATTTATGGTCAAATTAGGTAGTTGAACAGCACATAATTTTCTGAGGGCTCGCCACTCCATTTTAAGTAATGGTGCTTGAACAGTGACAAGAGTGTAACAGACAATCCAGCTTCAGTCAAAACAGAGACTCCTCGTGCAAAGACAAACACTGAAGGATCTGTGAGGTGTGAAGCACCATTACCGTCCTAAATGCTGGCTGAAAATGGTTCTGGAAGTTGGCTTGCAGGAGGTTTTGTGCTTTCCTGGGCGGTTTTGTATCTATTTTAGGTTTCTATGCTTTTGGTGAAAAATACTGCATGGGTTTGTACATACAAACGTGTTACAGCACACCACCTATGCCACAAGGAGCAATCCCCTGCTCAACTCCTTCCTCCAGCCCTTTATGCACTTCCAGCCAGCTTGGGACAGTCAGACAGTCATGTTTCACCAGCCAAATGACATGCAGACTCCTGAAGCCCTGGTGTGACCTGATCATGTTTGAATGCCAGAAACAGAAATGGCCCAATAGACTGGGGAGGGGGAAACAAAGAGAAGGATTAAGGCATGAAGAACATTTATTAAAAAACTTCCCTCTACAGGCAAAAGGAAACCATGATCTAAACAGGGCTACTTAGATGGCTCTCCTTTAACGATGCTTTGCCTTCTTAAAAACCTTTAGTTGTTCAATAAGCAGCTTAGCTATCAGATCCAAGTCTGCCAAGAAGGCTGATGGAAAAAGAACACAAAAAAAATGGCTGTCCTCCCATCCATCACATGGTTAAAAGAAATATGAACATATTTCCCCACAGAACAGATGCGGGGGCGGGGAGCGGGGGGGGGGGGGCGGGGAAATCTTGACCACTTCACAAGGACGTGTAAGCTGCTGAGGAGTGTCTCCTTCAGCTCCAAGTCTCTCACTTACTTGGAGCCCTCTCCTGTCTGTCACTCCCTGATTGGAGTCCTCTTCTGTCTGTCACTCCCTGACTGCCACTGATTACCCCTCTTCATTGGTTTTCTGCTGAATACAGCAAACAGCAGAAGGCAGAGCAAATAACTTTCATATGACCAATGCGGTCTGTCCAAAACACTCTACCCAAATTATCGTAAGAAGCATCTTTATTTGTCATCTTCGTCTGTGCCCAAGCATGTTCCCTACCTCCTCTCACATCTACCATATCTAGAAAAGTGCAGAAGATGGTCATTAAGGAGATGCCTAGGGTGCTGAACAGGAGGAACTCTCCAGTTCTTTTAACGGAAATTTCTAAATCATCCATATTATCACCAGCTTCTTTTCTCTTCCTTAAATCTCCTCCCTCTTCTGCTTTGGCCTTTTTTCAAACACACAAGTGTTACATGCTTGACACAAAGTGTTTTCATTCTGAAGTGCTGGGGAGTTAACATATACTAGGGAACAAACATTCAGCAGAGGGTCACTGACTCAGTTATCTGTCTTTCCTGAGGGCGTTGCAGCACTGGGAAACTTGCAAGACATGCAGCAGTTATTCTGCAAAGCCCTAGCAGTGAAACGGAGAGAAGCAAGAGGGAAAAGAGTTTTTGAAAATAATCACTACTACTCCTCAGCGATCTCCAACTCCAAATGCATTGAACTATAGCAAAGTGCTAGTATTATGGTCACAAAACTGTCACAGGGCAAATGATGCTGCAGAAGCACCACCTAGTAAGCCCATAAGAATATCTTTCCCCTACAAAAGCTACAAGATGTGCAAGCTGCATTTCAATGAACGAAAGTGTATCATTCATCCAGTTACATTCATTAGTTTCATCCCAATCAAATTCATCAATTTTCACCCTATAAAAATAAGTAGGAAATAATGCATTTTCCCTTGAAAGACAGCTGCAGTAAAGAAACCAGAATTGCAAGCAACATTTCTGCTGGCTAGAAGGCTTGGACAATCTCCTTTATGCTAAACTGCAGCTGTAAGCTATTGTTCAAAGTATCAAAAGCAGAATGGCAGCCTCCTAAAAAGAAAACAGATATGCCCAGATTCAGCCTGGATGTAGGCAGTAGAGTGTGATCACTGATAGTAAAGTGTCCAACATCTTTCAACTCTTGTCCTTTTGTGCAAAGAGCACATGGCAAGCAATTTTGCAGGGTCCCAAGGTCCAAGGGTCGTAGTAGTCCTTACCTCATACTTCTGTGCAACATCAGTGTTAGAGATCAGCTAAGGGGGAGGCAAACCATATGCACTCCAACTTCTGGGATGCTCTGTTGTTTTTCATTACATGAATGAATAACTGACATTGTGCTGGGACATTCAAAAGGTATGGCTCAAAGGATGCTCTCAAACAGCCTTATATGCTACTTACAAACATCTCCCAAAAGCTCTCTTAGGTAGGTAAGCTTCCCTTTCTGTGTACAGCACAGGAGCTGAGAAGAAAAGAGGTTCACTCCACCGTTTTTAAAAATGCATCTAAAATTGAGCAACTGAATTACCTAATTGACTTCCACAGATGGAGTCAAATGTAGATAGTATCACTGGGAGCTGTTACTGGGAGCTCTTTGGAAAATTACATTATTTCCATTCTAGTGCTTAACTGCAGTTCCAATTGCCTAATTTTAAGTACTCAAAGGAACATTCAATATGTTTTTAACTGTTCATTATTATCTACAACTAAACTTCAATAATGCTTCAGCTACTTCATAAATATAAACCAGAACACTTACTTGCATTTTGCAAAAAATAGCACAGAAAACTAAATTACATGGATCAAATGCATGAAAAATTACATTCTGTGTAGGAGTTCACCTTTGTTTCTTGCTCATGATTTCCAAAGTTCAGTTAACTGCAAAGGTTTCCCTAGTTGCTCTTATTAGCTAAGCTGTATTACTGAAGTGACCATCCTCCTTCCCTCTCTTTGCATGTTATAACTCAAATGAAAAGTTATACAAAAAAAACTAGCTCTGCTGAAAATTAGAGTTTTAGGAAATATGTATACCAGAAAGCTGTCTTTGTGAAGCGGCTGTCTGTCCTGTTCCTGCCTTCTGTGACACACAGCAAGGTCAGATTGTACTAAAGACCTTGCATTTACAGCTGCCAAGAATTTTTTCTGTTTAGTACTTCATGGGCAGACACCCCACAGTTTTCAAATCCATCACTTGCCGCATCGCTACTGTAGCTCACTTCTTGGAGGTCACAGTGAGGTCTGAAGACATCCAGCATCATCCTGAACAGCTCAAGGTGTGACAGGGGTGATGAGGGGCCCAGAACAAGAAGGGTCTTGGGCTCCTCTGGTCAACTCTGTTGACCCTTGTGCTGTAAAGTGGAAATAAAAATCCACCCAGGCACCTGAATGGTTCATCTGCAAAAGGGACTGATAATTGCCTTAATACGGTCAAAGGGAAGAGAGTAAGAGAAACAATTGCCAGGAAATAGGGATGAAGACACAGAAAACAGGAAACAAGTAAATGACTGCTCTACTATTGTGTTGCATTTCTTATCTGCAAAAGAAGTTAAAGTTCAGTAATTTCAAGGGAAAGTATATGCAGGGTTTAATAATTTCCTCTCTTTCATTGCTGTACAGCTTGAAGGAGAAAGCGTTCTCATTTCCTTTCTTGAGAGCAACAACCACCCTCCTCCCCCCAGAGTTATGCGCTAGCAATGAAAGCAGTGACAATGGAAATACCAAAGGGTGTACATATGAAAATATCTTGTAAACACAACACTGCATGCAGTACAGAGGAACATTTATCACATGCTTGACTGAACAGCCACAAAAAACCTTGAAACACCAACAAACCAAATAACAAAGTATGGAAAATGTTCAGGACAAATTACTGTCATTAACACTTACGGTCTAATTTGAACCTTTTTATACATGAAGTAAGTAAAATGTAAGTGCCACAAAAAATATGACACTGAGATTAATCCAGATATCAGTACATCGTATTCATGCCATTTCTAGCCGTGAACCCTGTACACACACACACACACACACACGTGCTCTGAGCACTTCTGGGGTGGCTGTCATAGATGAAATTTTAAAAAATTAGCAAGACTTTTTTAGAACGCAGGTGTTTTCATTCCAGTCTTAGGAAGTATGCTCCAATCTTCAAGTTTAAAACCATATATATATGCATATATATACATACACACACACACTCTCTCTCTCACCTTTTTAAAAAAAAATATATATATACACACATCCACATGTGCAGCCACATGTGCATGCACACACACACACAAAGAGAGAGAGAATATGTACCTATATCTGGATATATCCCTGAAATTACTATGGATGTCATAAAAGCATGGAATGATTTTACAGACAAGTTGCAACACAGAGCCATAATGAGTTTCTGAATCGCCAATACTCACACATAAAAGAGGGCCTGATCATCAGCAGGTGCTGGAGAAGATCTAGAATGTGAAGCATACGATGCAGCATCTTTTTACAATGGTGTTAACAAATGTCAATGTCTCATGCTGAATGCGAGAGGCATACTTATGTAGTCAAAAGTGTGAGCTGCTTTTCGTTTTTTTTTCTTTTTCCTTTTTTTTTCCCCGTTCCACCTCCGCTTCATCTACACCTCCCCCAGAAAGCATCTGCTCTTTATTATTGTCTATAGCAGTGATTATTAACAAGCATGGAAAATGGAATTGCAATCTATGTTTTATTTCTTGATCAGTAATTCATCCCCACACTTTAGGCAGGTGAATTTTGATACAGCTCTGTAATTATCTGACAGATGTTACAAGCAGCTGCAGCTGAGCACAAAACCCTGGCTATTATTACAGAAACATAAGAGCTGCTGGCAAGGTGGAGTGAGAAGTGAAACAGAATGCACTCTGGTAAGGCCACACATCTGGTTTTCCACACACAAAGGGGAAAAAAATTAAATACCTAAGTCTGAAACTCAGATTGCTGGTTCTTGAACTATTCAAAATCAAATTTCCTTTAATAAAATAAAACAAAACCTTTATGTGGCAAGTAAGAACAGCTTTATGTTTTCTCAGCAAATAATGTTTGCCACTGAAACACAGCTTTGAAATTAAAATAATTCTGCTTAATCTTTTTTTGGGGGCCCCCTGCTACTCAAAAAAAAGTTTAGTCTAGAAGTTAAGGTGCCAACTTTGCAGCCCTGTATGGATAAAGAGGATGGTATCAAGATGGCCACACCTGAGCACTTGTGCACCCTTGTTTCCTGAGGAAGACACCACAGAGATTCAGCTTGCTTATTTGAAATGTTGGCCCTTAAATTGCAAATCCTGCATCGTGGTGCACCACATTAGCTCTGAAATGACATCTATATAGCTGTGTATCCCTCTCAGCAAACAGGAAGAACTATCATGAGATAATGCTCCATATCTCCAAATTTCTGATTTGGGACATTACCCACATGGTTGTATCGTAATATTTTTCTGGGATCCTGTATTGCTCCTGAAAGTACAAATTGCAGAGAAGTTTAATTACGCTGAACAGTTTTGTATCGAAACTATGTAGGCCCAAAAATATTGTCCTTATTCTTGCAAGACTCCTTTAGAAGCTACCAAAGGATCTAGTCTTTCATTTTTTTGAAGTGCAGACGCCAGCTTCACTTTAAACCCTTATCATGGGTATGCACATAAATACAAGTACATAAATATAAAATGAAAGACAAAAATCTTAAGTAAGAATATGAATAGCAATTGCCCCTTTTCTGTGAGATCTTTCAGAAAGGGGATGCACTTCCCTCTGGAAAATCTGAATATTCACGTCTTAAGACAAGACTTTGGTATTTCTGACACATCTGCAAAAGACTAAGACTACAAAACAAAACCTATAGTCACATAGTGTAAAATGCAGCAGCTATAAAAGGATAAGCACAAATCATGAACACATCTGTGTTTGATCATGTAACTATGGCACTAATAAAAGACTCCTCACAGAAGAATGGTGCTGTAGCATTTGTGTATCTGAGCAGACATACACACACAGGCATGCGCATATACCAACTGATTTCAGTCGTGGCAGTCGAAATTATAATACTGTTTGAAAGCCTACAATAATAATCAATGTCACATTTTATCAACACTGACTCGCTCATATTCATGACAGTATTGACAATAATGTAATTCATTATATGAGCATATCCCATTATTTAAACAAGCTTACATTAAATCATAATCCTAAATGCATGACAGCTATGGGGCAGACAATTAAACCTACCACCCACAGTGAAGATAATTTACCTACCTGTTCCCAAAATGCCAGGTGTCTTCAAAGCTAGAATACTTCTGGGGAAGAATGGAATGCCCTGCAGTCCGTTTTGAACTGACAGAAACCACACAGTTACCTGCAACTACACTGGGACTGAACTGATCCCTTTGAAGGCCATCCTCTTAAATAAGTAGGAGCTTCTATTACCAACAGCTCCATTAATCCCATTTGCAGATCTGACCAAATCCATGTTACCATGGGTTTGAGAAAAACAGCTACTAGATTTTTGGAGCTGTAAACCCAGCACTGGTGTGTCTAGAGCACTGTCCACAAGCTTAGGAACAACCTCATTTCTAGATGGTGCATGTGGGCAAAGTTAACTCCACAACCACAACAGCTGGAAAGAATTGTACTTTGAAGGGAAAGGTAAAATTCTGTAAATTGAGTGAACTTGAGAAGAAGCAGCTTTCTCATCAAGCAAGCAGATATTTCAAACTTGTATTAATTACTGCAAGTTTAAATTAGTACTCCCAAGAGCGGGTATTTATGCACTAGAGTAACAGCTCCTTTGTACATACTAATAAAAACTTGGAAGTGACTTCACAAAACAAACTGTTTCTGCTGTTTGTCGCAGATGTACTGAAAATGTTTTAAGTGTTACTTTTCTGCATTAACATCAGCTGTCATACTTTCGGTCTGGCAGTCAAAACCAAAATCCATTACAAAGATCTCCATCAAACGAAATCATTTGTGCAATGGCCAGGACAGTCCACCTTTGAGAAAGACAAAACACCTTGAGGAAATCCTTACTTTCTTTGGAAGAGTCATACTATCAATGCAAAACTCTGACTAATCCCACTCCTTCAATATAACCAGGCAGGGCAGTAATGATGATGATTACTAATGACAGCAGTAACTTTTCTAAGAACATCCAAAGCCTCACACACAAGTGATTCTATCTTTCAAACACATGAAGCTGTAATCTGAAGGTTAATTATCCATCTGAAGCTGTAACTTAAAGGTAAATTCATATTGTAAAAACAAACAAAATTTTCATTTAGAATACTTGCATAAATAACCAAATTTTGATTATTAGCCTCTTCCTACCACAATTCATCATCTAGCTTTACCTACTTTATATCTGGTCCAATGAGCGAATGCCTCCTTAGCATAGCCCGGGCTTGTGCATTGGTTAAGTTAGTGGTTGACTCTTCATTAATGGACAGGATGCAGTCCCCCACACTAATCCGTCCATCACGACTTATTGAGCCTCCATGGATGACGCTGCGGACTATCATTCCTGAGCCATCTTTATTGGAACTTACTGTCATCCCTACAGTGAAAAACGCATGAAACAGTTAATAACATGTTTGAGCCCCAGCTCTGAGTGCCAAGAAAAAGAAATGTAACCTGGGGCAGGGAAGGTAAAAGCCAGCCAGCCTACCTGCCAATGTCAGCAAGCCTATAAACACTGCTCTTATTCTCCCTTGCATTTCCTTCTTTCCAACAGGAAACAGCAGTTACAAATCACAATCACAGTATCTTTACTTTACCTTGTGTCATTACACATACCAGGCTGGATATAAAAAAACTGAGACAGTGGAAAATTTAAGCAGAAAATAAACAAAAAAGGTAATGAAATTGTTTCTAAAACAGTCAAATTTACCAGTCTTCTGGATGGTTCACTGAGTTTATACACCACATTTCAGTTTAGTTTATAACAGTTCTCTTTGGAAAGAGGGTGAAATGATTAAACGGTTAATTGGGAGCATAGGGCCAATAAAACCACACACTTATTTTCAACAGAAAGCCTGAATCAGATCCCACTGAGATAGTGGCTGCCTTCCTGCTCTCCTATGTGGGCCACTGCTTAGGGCCAAAAGAGCATCCTGACTTCTGTGACAGCCTGTGCACTACTGATGGATACAGTCCGGTACTTGAGTTACACCACGATCCCACCTGTGGCACAGCAGGACACTACTTCTCAATGTTTATACACACCATTTAACTCCACTTTCTTTTCACTAATGGGAAATGAGAGAGAGAGACTCTTCCCCTCCTCCCCATGGGGACTTACTTGTGGTGCTCGGCTTGACATGTCTTTGTGACTGTTCTTACATGCATGAGTTGTCACTGTTATTTTCAGGGCAGTTCGTGCTCCTCAAATCAACCCTGATGACAGTTCCAGGAAAAACTGTTCTTCACTAAGGCAATGGAAAAGTAGCTGAACGGCCAGCACCCTGGAAGTCCACTGGGTGGACTTAAGCAGAAAAGTCCACTGGGTGGACTTCCACTATCTTAATAGTGCCAAACTCATTTTTATTCTCTTCTGTGCACTAACATGGAAGCTTTCCTTCACTAAGAAGATGAAGCCACTGAAGTAAGAGCGCCTTATAGAGGAGTATCTATTGGAGAAGGAGGCAGTGACTACCTCACTGTGTGTTATCCTAGTTTTGCACGTAAACATCAGGCTAGCACGCACTGGTAGTGCAGCTGTGTGTCTGCAAGCCCTTACCTTATTGTCCAGACTGTGAGTGGAAGGAACATAGCTACCCAGAGCAAAACCTCCAAGGATACTGACTATGAAAAAATTCTAACCCTTTATATACAAACATGGCTACAGAAGACAGAGACTGAACACTTTACTCTGTGACCTTAGACCTTGGGAGACAAACTGGCTGAACAGAGTTTAGAAGGCAGCTGTAAGCCCCAGTCTACCCAGACTCAGCCAACCATACAAACATCTGCCTATATATCTGTCTCAGAGAAAAAAAATAAAATACTGTAACCATTTAAAGAACAACATTAATCCAGATATTCATTTGTGCTTCTTCCAGGACTCCTCCCAGAAAATAAAAATCTCTTAATAGTGTTGGCTCCTCACACCCACTTGTAGTTGAGATCAACATAGCTGTCTAAAGTATGAGAAGGTGGCCCTGACTAGCAAGGAACTGCCCAATAAGCTTCTTAGACACAGGAATACATCTACCTGTCTACTTTGGTATGTGGAAGTCAAGGTTTATCTTGGAAAAACTGTAAAACCCATCTTGATGATGGCACTTTATATTAAACTGATGAAAGAATATGGTGTTACCGTTGACTGGAGATTTATATTTATGATTTGCCACGTAACGATGTCAGCTGTGGTCAGGCGTAATTTAAACATGGGTGTATCAGACTTGTGATACAGACACACAATGCCACTTATTTATTGCCCTGCTATTAGAAAAAGTAGAGGTAAACTGCCTGTCACCTACCCCTCAGATTAGTAATGTTACAATGTTGAGCACATCACAGGTGGCATTTACAGATGCCATCCTAGGGTGGACGCCCCAGCGTTTACACTCCCATACTCCTTCCAACAACCACCTCTTGACAGATCTGCTCACACGGGTTACTCAGTCAGATGTGAACGTAAACACAACTCTGCAACAGAGTGGTCTCCACCAGAATACAAGCAGTGTGCACAGAAAAGCAAACTGCCACGGAAACAGACAAAATGTAGTTTGAAATTCTGAACCTAACTTTGCTGCTTGGTTAAGCCAGTAGCCAGCAACAGTATTACCAAGGCTAGTGTAATAGCACTTTAGAAAAACATCACCCCGGTTTCTATGCTGACATCTTCATTACAACAGATCTGCAAGGCTGATGTCACACTTTGGAAAGATACAGTTTCAGGTTAAAAATGCAAATGCCACTGTCAAGTTTCCAAATGAATTACACAGGACAATGGCATTTCAGCTCTTCTTGCATGTGGGCGCTCCGTCCTCTTACCTTTTAAAAATCACAAGCAAAAGGTTAGAGCTCCAGCTGTGGCTGGATTTGAGGAGCTGTTGCAAGTTATGGGTGACACCATTTAAAAGGAAAAAACAAGTGCCAGTTCTCAACTGAAATAATTGATGCAGCTGCAGCTTTCAACATTGCTCACAGCTCTTGATTTAGCTCCTTCTGTAAAAATGAAAGTTAAAAGCAGTGCAGTCATGCGTATAAATTGGTCACTGTGCCCAGGCAGCTTCCCAGGCCAGAGCACACACAGACTGGAAGGAAAAGACTACAGTTAAAAGCCAGGAGAAAGCAATATTCACATTCATACTATGTATACATGAGAGGCCAGTCTTACTTTTCATGCATGTGATGTCTGCCAATGTGCACCCTGCTCCAAGTTTGTATTTCTATGCTCTATTACGCTTGACATGAAATTTGCTTTGTATGTTCACTACACTTAAAATGCTTATAGACATACACGAAAAACACTGCTCCACTGAGCTAAGGTTTTATTGCAAACAAAACTTTTTTAACAAAATCCAAATGCCTGGAACTGCACTGTAACTTGCACCTGATACAGCCCGGCAATGAGGCCAGTAAAGGCAGTAGTTACCCAAGCACCTCACACCAATTAAAGTCAAAACTTACATCCACATCAGCCTTGCCTACAGCTTTATATTTTGGTGAGGCTGATTTTAAACCAGATCAGTTCCCAATCCAGTTTGGAGGCTGGCTGTATCATGAAGGAGAAGGCGGTATCAGGCAGACTGAGCATCCAGCCATCAGAGGGCAGTGTACTCCAGGCAGAAGCACCCACTGAATCACAGCATCCCAGCGCCCCACCCACCTCTGCGCAGCAAGGGAGTTCTGAGCGGTGGCTGTTTATGAGCAAGGGGCCCATGGGCTGCTTTCAAGGTGCTTTCTGTGGACAGCCCATCTTAAAGTATTCGTGGAGTCACTGCAAACAGCCAGTGCCCACACAGACTCCCGCCCTACCAACACCAGAGAGTCTTCAAGGACGTGCCGTTGGCCAGAAGAAACAGCACGAAGAACCTAAACCAAAGCAAATGAACACACCAGCCACAAACAGGAGGGGAGCACCCGCTGCCTCCCACCACAAAGTCTCCCCCATCCCGGATCTGGGAACTGGCCTGGGAGGATGCTACCCCTGTGCTCCCCCTCATACTGCCCAGGGCTGCACCAAAGACCAGGAGAGGACACAGAAAAACGTTTCCATCTGTTGTGCCTGTTTGCTTCAAAATGTGCCTCTAGCCAGTATGCTCAGGAAGTTGCACATTGCAGATATTTAAAACCCTGAAATTCTCTACAAAATGATAATATCATTGAGATACTATCAGAGAGGTGGTGGATGCCCCATCCCTGGCAACATTCAAGGGCAGGTTGGACGGGGCTCTGAGCAACCTGATCTAGTTGAAGATGTGCCTGCCCACGGCAGGGGGGTTGGACTAGATGACCTTTAGAGGTCCCTTCCAAGCCAAACTATTCTATGACTCTGTGATTGAGCTAAAAACATTACCTATTAAATGTATCTTAAGCACTTTTAAGATACAAGCACTTAAGATACAAGTACAAATATGTAGCAAGGAAATGAACAGCTTGTTTAGACCCTTTTGACCATCCTCAGAAAGCAAGATCATTTTGTGTTTACATACATTTGAAAGTCTAGTCTGCATCTCTTTGACGAAAGTGTTCTTCTACAGCATTCCTCGGCTATATCTCATTTTTCCACTACATTATATAAATGTATAGACATCAAAAACCAATGTATTAAAATTGTTAACATTTAGGAATGACTGAACTCCTGTACGGGGAAAAAAAAATTCTGAGTGAGACTGGACACTTTACTTTTTTGTTCAGCGTGACAGCAAATGGATCCACTGCCATCACAGCCAAACAGGGCAAGAGCAGCAAAGAATGAATATCCTGTCATGCTTTCCCCACTAAAAGGAAAATATTTAGTCTTTACTAATAAAACAGGAAAGATATGAGAAAAACAGACAGCCATGTTCCTGAGCAGGTTACAAAAAACATTAGCTACCTTACCTAGACTTGAATTGCCTTTTGCAATAGTGATAGTCTTCTCATAAATGTTTTTGACTGAATTTGGGGTTGTGGAACTTCCCTCCAAAGATACTGGGCATCTCTTTTCCGTTAAAAGCACTTGATCCTAACACAAGGGAAAATAACATCAGTTCAGAATACCGAGATAAAAATATGATTGGACATACTGACCTCAACTCTTCTTACCTTACACAAAAGCTAGGTACATAATTAATACAGATTCCTCATACTGACATTGGAAAAGTCAGTCCATCAAAGATTAAACCAACATACATGAGGTTTCTGTTTACATTCAGGTAATATAGAAAATCTACCATAAAGTATGCTTTTAATTTATGGACATCAGTTACACTCTTAATAGTGGGATGAATTCAAGGGCTCTCAGACTCGTTCACCGCAGATGTCTGACAATCTGCCAGTGCTAAAGTAACAAATCTTGTAAGAAATTGCAGCTCTTTTAAGAATTTCTTAACAAATCACTGAACGGAAGAAAAAAGAAACACATGTCACAGTGACTGTCATATAAAGGAATATTATGTTTGCACACTGTGGCATCGCAGGACAGTTTGTGAGCTCAACTCTGGAGGCTTGCGCGAACATGAGAATGCAAGTCTTTCATACCACTCCCCCTTGGCTTCCCAGGCCTGGATTCCAGCTATGCACCTCCTCCTTGTGCCCATGTCTCTGCAGAGGTTAAGAGGGCATAAGAAAAGCCCCCTGGCCTGCTCAACAGGTACACTGTGGTCCAGCAGTGTCTACTGCTGTGAGGTACGAGCAGACTTTTATATACCCCTGTATCGCCAGTCTCTGGGAGATGACTATCTATCTTGACGCCATAAATTATCTCCTCTTTTGGACAGGTCTAAATCTGTAGGTTTTGATGTGAGCTACCACATCTGATGGACATTTATAATCAAACAGCCATACATGGCTATTGACCAGTGTCAATTTCTCCAAGAGATTTTATGTTTTAATATCACATTTCTGTACGGTTTTTTAATTATTATTTTAAAAAACCCAATCTTTACTTTTCCAGTGCGATCAAGCTGCATGGTAGTATCAAGGCTTGTACTCAGTGCAATTTCTGCTGTTGTCTGAGATCCAGTCCATGTCGCTGTGTTTTCGCTTTCATTTTGGTTGATATCCGAAACATCCAGAGGCAGAAGATCCTTTTTAGTAAAACCAGTTGCAGTTTCCAGGCTATTGCCCACTACGGACTTTTGCTCTCTCTCTCTCTGATTCAGATCCATGTTGTACAGGTTCTTGTCAGATACACGGAAATCAGCTGCAGCATTTGAACATTCCTCTCCAACAGACTGTTAAACGCAGGAGACAATGAACAATCAACATTCTTTTGTAGTATAATTAAAAAGTACATTTCATGCTAAAATCTGAAACAGAAACTAATCTCACAGAATTTAAACATATTTGTTGTAACATCAGTGTCTTCAGCAGATCCCTATGGGCATTTTACTATAAAATTTACTTGATTCCTCAGACAATTCCTTCTGTTTTAAAATACCAGAAATCATTGAAAATAAAGTTACTGCTGAAGGCCAAATTCTAATTTGGCACTCATCAATAAATCTTCACTAACTTCAACAAACTAATGTCCATTCACACATTCTCAAACAAGACATAACTCCACAAGTTATTAAAATTAAAGTATCCAATTGTCTTTCTCAGGTAGAAGAACTTTGAAAGATCAAGGTCTTTCCTTTCAAAACACTTAGAAGCAAAGAGCAATTTCAAACAGTTCAGACAATAAGCATGCAATCTAATCATCCATTTAACTGAGTAGAAACACATTTAGATACCCCTTCCACACAAAGAGGGAAAAGTAAAAACTCAGTCAAATCTCAGCAAAAAATGAACATGGAGGTCTTGAACTGTGACAACAATGAAATACAATGATGCAGCTACAGAATTTTATCAGCTAGTACTTATTGCAAGTGTATTGATTATGGCTGCAATACTAGGATTAAGTTCTCTACAAAAAATTTGTTCAGACTTTCAAGATTCCAAGGTCCTGCATTTCAAATATTTTAAGGAATTTCAATAATCACATCATTCTGAAAAAAATCTTCAAATATTCTCTAGCTCAGCTTTCAAAATAAGTAATTTTCAAAACATGTAGGCCATTAGATATTAGAAAGATATACCAAGGACTTGGAGATTGGACTTACAGGCTCTATATCAGTATCAGGGATTTTTCTCTGACATGTAGTAAATGTAATCACAAGAACGTCTACCTCTATCTGTATTAGCTGTTATCCACTGGTCCTACTAATTCTTCCATTGCTTTTCCAAAAAGTGGGGAAAACATGTTTCCCAGGATTTTGGGATATTTTGCAACATTGTGTATCAAGGACCTTAGAATTTGTTTTTCTCATCTTTCATGAAGTGCATACATGCTTGCTCTGTCCCCAAACAATCGTCAAAAAAGGTTCACCTGTAAACAACTGGTTTACGTAACATCTAAGATAATTGAGCAAAGCCTAAATACAACTAATCTGCATGATATAATCAATAAAATAACTTCCTACCTTTTGGAGAACAGAACACCAGGACTATAATCTATTTAAATTATTCCATTAGGTTTCAGAGAAAGCTGGGACATCTACTTTTAAGTCTGTTTTGTATCTATTTTCAAATCAGTGAAAACAAGACCCAGATTGTACTCAACATTTAATCCATGTGCTATATATACATATTAGAGTTGCAGCATATGCCCATTTTAATTTTTGTTTCACTTAAAGAAAAGCCAATGCTGTAATTTTTGAAGACAAACACAATTTCAGGAATTTGTAACTATAGCAACATGTGGCCTCATTAGAGCATTTGCATTACTTTGACTTCAGGTATTTTTTTTCATCACCTATTTTAAAAGTGACACCAAAGGCATTCAGAACCTGTCAACTGTCCTGAAGTCAGAAATAGCTGAAATACCTCTGCATTCCTCATAGCATCTAATAGCAATTTTTTCATTTTTACTGCACTTCACTTGCCTCAAAAGTCTTCTTTTATGAACAGATTTTCTTGCTATGTTTACTTTGTGAAGTCACTCACAACTGCAGAGTATAAAATGTTACTTGGTAAGAACTTAATACTCACTTCATACTGGTGCACAGAGAGGAACACTGAAAAGTCAGGACCATAGTCCGAAGCCATCTCTAAGTCAATGCTGAAAATAACTTATGATTTTCTAGAGCCTCAACATGGTATGTAATGTAAATCCAGCCTCTATCTCATAAAATGCTTCTCAGCTTGCAAAATGCATAATCCGTTTAAGTAACAATTACAGAGTTAAACAATGCAATCTGTCCCACTGGCACAGCAGAGATGTGCTCTTCTGTGGATTAGGAGAAACCATTAGAAGATGAATTTAGCTTTCCAACCAGTGCCTCGTAAGGGCTGAACGTGTTCCAGAAGGGATAAAGGGAGTTACTGCAGCTCAGGTGTGGAGGAAAAAGCAGCAGCTACTCTATTCAAGATCACAGACTGCAAACCCTGGAAGAAATCCCTACAATGTTGTTTTCAAAGATGACTGCTAGAAAAAATGACTTGGAAGACTCTGGATTAGCAAAATAAATCTATAGATTGCCAAGAAAAAGGAGCATGAAAAACCATGGAGAGAAACAAAACACCAACTCTGACACAAACAATCAAGTCATTATGGGTATGTGAACAGGAAGAAAAAAGATACTGATCTTTGTAATGCTCTTAAAGAACTTATCGTCATTTACTGACTTTAAATAGAAATTATTAGTAATCAGACGTTTGATATTTACAGATTTACTTTTAATTACAGTAGCATTACAAACATTTCATTCAAGAACACAGTAAATGAATTAGCAAACATACTAACTATGAAGCATAAAAGCAAAGCTTAGGATGAAAACTTACTCTTGCTTTTCATACCTAAAATACTGTAGAATAACGCACTTATTTTGTGTTACCACTCTTTACTATGCTCTGAAGTAAAAACAATTAAATTTTTGTAGCAGAATGCTCACCTCAGCTTTAACACTACAAACATCTCACCATACTTTATCTGGCTACACAAAACGCAAATCCAAGCTTTCAACCTTCTAGCTGCCTCTTTCTTCAACACACACATCTAAAAGACACCAGTACTACTACCCTAAACAAAACTGCACTTCAATCTGGTAACAAATAGTGCAGTTTGAACCAGGATGACATAAAACACTTGTATCTAATAATACAGCCTTTTCACACTTATAATCAAAGTTTGCCATCAATAAAACCATCCTCCTTTTTACCTTGGGAGTTGACAATGGAAGAGAGAAGCTGTAGTTCAGCTCACCGCTACAGGCACTGCCATGCAGAGCTATCATTGAAGCCTGGAAGACGTCACTCTCTAGCGAATACTGCGATTCAAAGGTGGACTCATCCGCTAGATCTGCCTCGCCGGAGTCCACCTAACAACAAAAGCAATTCAATCAGCCAGGCTATCTGTTACCTTCACACCACATAAGCCCCAAACACATGCACCTCAGCCGCTATATACTGACTGGCACTTTCCTTCTTTTTTTCCCCCCCTCCATGTTTCACATTGAAGTTATATTTGCACAGCACAGTAGGAGAAATTTCTGCTTCCAATTACAATTCATGTTACTACATCTTCAGAGGTTGCAAAGAGTATCTGAAGCAAAGTGAGAGTCTCAACTGGAATGAGTTGCAGGGCTGAGGCAGGCTGATGCCTGTTAACAGAAGTACAAGGTGTTAGGAGAATTCTGCTGTACTCCCTGGTGCCAAAATTTTGATTTAAGGCTTTTTTTTTTTCTTTTTAACTTTCTTTTCTAAGAATCAGAACTGAAAAAACAATGAGCTTCACTTAGTGCCACCTGTCAGGAATGTTCCCTCCACCCAACTTCATAGGTTCGGTTGTTTTTAAAAGGGTACGAAAAATAATCTTCTGGAAATTGCAATGTTTTCCAATATATTTATAAGAAACATTTATGACATGATTTTTTATGATTTCCAAAATATTTTACATTTTACAAAAATATTAATATGGACAATTATCCTGTCTTACATGAAAAATGAAATTTTAAAAAGGGTTCCAGACATGGACATGGGCAGCATTTTTTGCCTTTTTTTTTCTTAAATGAAATATAATTTTTTCAAAACTCATATACTTTCAAATACTAGAATAAAATTAAGTCCTACAAGACTTAATTTATGGTGCTTCACATACTACACTTTGATTACAATTTCTTCTCCCCTGGCAGAGCTCAAGAAAACAGTGTATGCTAACAAAAATGATCCGTGAGTTCAGAGCCATGACCATACCATAAACTTGTATGAAGCAGCCAAGTGAACCCATATGCAGAGATGGGATCTAAGTGTTGTTTTTCAGCCTCTGTGGTTAATCATACTATGAATTTATTATGTCAGGTTCACAACAGCAATAGCAACAATCTGCAATGATTCAACATACTGATTCCTTTTTGGGGTACAAATGATCCATTTTTTTATTGTCTCAACCCTAAAGACTTAACAACTAATTCAAACTGCTCCTTTGGTGTACCTTACTCTCAGCCCATCTTCTGGAAAATGCAGACTAGTGTTACTGAAGCTATGCCCTAAAAAAAGGATTGTGAAGAACTGGGACAGACCTGTAGGATATGAATGTAGATTTATCTATGAAAAACAGTATCTCATGAGTGTACTCTGCAAACACATCTTTAACTGGGTGATTGCACATTCCATTTCATATTTTGTACATTTGACAGCTGACAGAGTTGACAATTTAACCATATTATTATCTGCCATATATTTCATTGTTCTTTCACAGTTTTAATTTTTTGTATGAATCACATAGAAGTCAAATTTTTAAATACTTAAAGTTTTAATCTGATCTTCAACCCATCTTTAATTAAAAGATATTTACAATATATAATCTGGCTTCTTCATACTTCTTCTCGATGAATAGAATAAGGCAAACCCTATTACATAACTACTGTACCAAGGTAACAAACTGCAGCAGAAAAAACAGGCAGTCTTGTTTAAAAGCAAGTTATTAAAACCAGCTTGTCATTTGCAAATGTGAGAAAATAGCAAACATACTGGAATCAGTAATTCAGAGAGTTTTACCTTGAAGGAATCCATTTCAGCTTTTTGTTTGGTTTTGGGTTTTTTCTAATGAATTAAGTTCTGGTGTTTAGTAGAAACTGCTTCCCTACTCATCCCCAGAAAATGAGGGCCAAATAACTTCAATATCAGGCCCAGATCAGTACAAATAAACGTTAGAAGACACACTCGGAATATATTTATATTCTGTTTTTTGGGGGCTTGGGGGGTTTTTTGTAGAGTCCTATTTCCTTTGTCTTTTTCATCTGAGTTCTTCCTGGTAAACTCTGGGCTATGTAAGGCACTGAATGCTCAGGTAAGACGCATTGTTTGTACAAGTGAACACCTTTTGACCTTGCAAATCTCATAATGACTGATTGATGCTGAATTCTAAAGAATACTAATAGGAGGAAGCATTGGCAGCTTTTGAAGACAGACAGCATTCCTTTTAAGGCTGGCTTACATGCAAAAAGAGAGTTCCAAAAACTTTCAAAGGTAGAGAAGTGATGTATTATGATATATAGGCAGACAGATTTATTTACAAAATAAGCACATGAGCATTTCTCTACACAAGGTGAGATTTTCAAAGGGATACTCTGTGCATGCAAGGAGAAGTGGGCAGCCATGCACTTTTGAAAACCTCAGCAAAATACTTCCTTTTTTCCCAGCAACTAACATATTATAGGCCAGATTCACAGCTCATGCACACAGCCAAAATCTCCAGGTGCCAGTTTCTACCATGTGGGGATCCATCCCAACTGTGGTGGATGAGTAATGTGGCAACAATAAACACTAAAAAATAAGCACGAACAGTGACAAAGCAACCCCTTTTATTACAAAATGCAAAGACTTAAGAAATCTTCTGTAAGTTGGGCCACTAACCAGAGCCAGCTCAGCATGGAAGAGGGCTGCATCAGCTGGCCCCTCCTCCTCAAGTGACTGGGCAGTGTAGAAAAAGCAATCTTCCTTAGCAGAGACATAGCCCTCCTCTGGTGAAAGCTGCAGAAAGAACGAAGCTCTGAGTTGGATGAGTGGCCAGGACACAGGGCGTGCAGTGCGTTATGTGTGTGGTTTTAGAGAGGCAAATGAATTCCAAATGCAGCAAAGGGTTCATGTCAATCACAGTCACAATGTTGGGTAGGTAGTTTTTTTTCAAGTTTACCTGAATTGATTCAGCTTCACATCTCATTTTACATCCCCAAGTAATGAAAAAGGCCTATCCAGCTATACCACAGAGCCCACAGCTGAGTCTAAACTCATTTTCAATTTCTGCTCTTATTAAACATATACTAAAACTGTCATCAGAGCTGCCACCAGGGAAAAAGCCTAACAGCAGAGGCCTTTACAACCTTGCTAGCTGCAGAGTAATCTTGTTAGCAGGCAGGAAGGCTGCATCCGCTGTCTGCGTTTTATGATTGTATCTACCAGGTGGAACAGCCTCGGGAGGACAAAACACAATTCTGACTAAAAACCAGCAGCTTTTTCCAACATAATTTGATGCTAGGTGCATTCGTCCAGTACTGCAAAGAAGCCAGTGATTATTCACTATGTTTAATTAATTGGCAAGCATAATACATGAAATATTAAAAGTGCAAATGCTGAATATTTACAAAATGCTGGGAACAGAAACAAAACCCCCACGTATTTTCTCTTTTAGAGTGACATCTTCTTAAGTAGGAAAATATTCATTTGTAAGACATCTTAGTGTGTAACACAGAGTCTCCACTACAAAAAACGAATTTAACAAAGCAAGTTAAAAAAGTACCCTCTTGCTACGAAAAGGAAAGTTTCTAGTAACTTAAACATCAGCCATTCCCTCCTACCCTCTCCACAAAGATCCACTAAGAATGAAAATTTGGTATCTGCATCCACAAGGATTACAAGATTATCATTTAATGAAAAGCAGAAATGAACCCCAAACACTGCACTTGGGCTTACAAATATAGTGAAGGGTATCTTCTTTGTATGTATAAACTGATGCCATTCTACTGATTTGAATTTAACACACCAGGGACACTAGTCCACTAGCATCCTTACTGACATGCTATCTCGGTAACCCTAGGCCTCCTACAACCTCATTCTTGTAATTGTTACAGACTACCTTCTAAAATCTAGCCTGAAATTATTTATGGCTATACTAAAATAACCACTTTGAGGTATATGAACTGAAGACTACTCACCATTCTTTAAACAAAGTGTGCAGTCTAAATACAAAGACTGCATATGTACTATACCTTGCAAAGCAAAGGAATAGGCAAATTCCAGGCAAACTACAAAAAATTGACTTTGTGTCACCATCTCATACATTCAGAGAATCTTGTAAAGTGTACAAAATTATGCCTGGCAACTTGCAGCCCTGAAAGACTGTGCTGGTTGCAAGATGCTTCACTGTTTTCTCAGCTGCAAGGCAGGTGTGATAGGTCCTGCAATCACTACACCAGTCATACACTACACAGGCCACTCCTCTATGCAAGGAGATACAGGAATCTGTTAAAGACAGTTTCTGGATGTTTTGAGCCAGCCAGCTGTACCCCAAAGCACGCAAAAGTGTATGCAGAAGTCAGGATCATCATGTACCAGCTTAAATTACATGAAAAGTACTCATCAAATTCCCAAATCCTTACAGGCAGTGGTTTGGCAACTCCTATTTTAACTGTTCCTGCTGGGGCTCCTTTCAGTGCTTGTACCGCTTCCTCCAGGCTGCCATTTTCCAAGTTGATATTGTTGACAAACATAAGCCGATCTCCGGGAAGAAGTCTGCCATCTTGCTCAGCCACACCCCCAGGAACTAATGAGCGAATCACAATTACGGTGTTTGCTGGATCAACAGGATCCTAATTAAATAAAACGAAGGAAAACATTTCATTTTATTTATTCTTTTATGTCTTGAGAGGCTAATTTTTATGCAGAGTTGGGTTATTAAAATATTGG